TACACAATTTAACTTCTTAGTGAGGTTAAATACATACCATGCTTGACAGAGGTACCTTCACTTTGGTAGGGCACTTAGAATGGAGTGGCCCTTCCAATGAATAGCCCCACCTGAAATGTTTCACTTTTTGAGTTATGGTACTACTCCTTATTCACTTCCCAAATTAAAAGCTTTCACCGCTTGCTTCAGAAAATGAGCCTTTCTACTTTCATACTCTCAACCACTCCTACTGACTTGAAGGTCAGTTAGACAAACTGTTAACCAATCATAAATTAAAATCAAAGTAAGTTTTAATCTATTGTAAGAAAAACATATATGGACTGCATGGCATCTATTATGGCTCTAAGTATCTCCTATTTCCTAATAGTCTTCTGAATAGTTGACAAGTAGTGGCTAAGTAAAGAATATTTTGTGATGAGGGAAGAAGCACAATGATCAGATGAAACTGACCCTTTACAGAACTTTCAATGTGTCATCTGCTAATATTATTCTTAAACTCAAAAACTATGAATGGCTTCCAGTTCACACAACACAGGCCAAAGCCCCTAAGGTCACTGTGCTCACAGACTTGAGTCTTTGTCTTCAAAATCTGACCCCATTCTGCATATCAAGCCCCACCAGCTTAGGCTGTATCCCAGGACTCAGATCTAGTACAAAGGAGCCACCTTCAACTTTGTCTCTCTCTCTCTCTCTCTCTCTCTCTCTCTCTCCACACACACAACTTGAAGGTCAATTAGACAAACTGTTAACCAATCATAAATTAAAATCAAAGTAAGTTTTAATCTATTGTAAGAAAAACATATGGACTGCATGGCAGTCCACACACACACACACACACACACACACAACCTTTGTGCCTTTGCTCATGCTGTAAATACAAAGAATGAGCTAATTAATCTGTAATATAAAAGGGTGGTTGGGGTTTTGTAGGGGAGCAGTTACTTCTTAATTCTCAAGACTTTAAAGGTGTGCCATAAAGTTTCTAGGAAGCATTTTACAAAACCATGGTGGCCATGATAGACATTTCCTATTTCTGCTTACCTTGCAAGAACAGTAAACAAGGTTTTCCATAATGGGAGAAAAACTATCCCTACCCCATTTTAAACTTAAGAAAAAAACCTTAGTATTTTATAAGTTGATAAGCTGTATTTCAATGTGCTGGCCCAAAAGAGTGCTCACCTGCTGGGAGGTGATGTGACTCATTGCCCAGATCAAAAAATTGCCATGGAAGACAGAACTAAGATGCCTGACTCATGGTTTGATAGACAACATTCAAAAGCATGGTGTGTGTTCAGTTTGTTACAGTTCTAGACCCAAATGCTAGCTGCACCATGACTTGGCAAAAGCAACCAAGCAGCCAATCAGACTATCAATTTGCATTCTCTGCATTTTTTTCTTCAACTCCATAAATACTATCCATAAATACTACTCCACAGAAACACCCTCCTGATGTGAGAGTCTCCACCTCAGTCTCCAGTCTGCTGCCAGGTAAGCTCACACTAAAGCGGTTCTTTTCTCAAAAGCTGGTGGCACCAGGTCTTTTGATTTCTTTGTCCTTGGATAGCAGGTCCAAGCTCAGCAACACGATCACTATGCAGAATTCACTCCATTTGTATGTGTATAATCTGCAACTGAGAAACTGAAAGCACAAGTCCAAGGGTCTTCAAATAATTGGCAAATTCTAGGAAGGGTAAGACTTTTTTACCTGTTTTGTTGTGTCTGTCTATTCACTCCTGAGATTCATAGTAAAAGCACAACAAATATTTACTAGGTGAACAAATGAATGACCAAAATGCTGTGTGAATATTTCTGTAAAGTAATTTCAGTTACCAAAGATTAAAAATACCTAACAAAGACCAGCTCTGTGTTCTAGTCAGGCTTAAAGAAACTTTCGTTTTGCTTCTAAAGCAGGTCTTGCCTCAGACTGGGCAATTTACTCAAAGAGCACCAAGGAAAAATGTGTGCCTACTGCCAGCTGTTAAGAATCACAGATCATAAAAACTTAGAAGTAAATACATCACGGAAATGAACTTAAATGTTTTATGTTTTCTTACTGCCTTAAACTGCCAAAAAGGCTAGTTTACTTTAGAGGAGAAAATACCCATAGGAAGTAGTTTCCTACCCCTGAAACCCAGTTATTTCAAAGATAACTGTTAAAACCCTATGTTACTATAGGGTTTTTGAAACAGGAAACAATAGTGGCACACCTAGCTGAGGAAAGGGGAGAACAAGCAGCAGAAAGGAAACAACATGCTGAACAAGAACATGGCTTAGAGGTTAGCCTGAAAAATATAAAAACAGTGAAATAATTTCTCTATTTACCTATAAATAGTAATTATTTAAAAAGAGAAAATAAAGGGCATGGAAACAGCACTCTCCTTGGTCACCTGCCTTTCCTCTTCCCCCCACTGTTAACATCTTCTTACTTTAATGCCTCCTGTAGAAAAGAAATTGATAGTAACTTGATTACCCTAAATAGGGTAGGGAATAGACCATGGATAATGATCCTTCATTTTCTACTTTCCTGTATTTTCTGAAATTTTTTCTAAGTAAGTTTTCCCTCTTGTTATGAGGGAAAAAACATCTTTAAATTTAAAGAAGTCATACACCTTAAAAGTGTATGTCCTAGTAATAAAAAAACTAGAGAAATCCTTTACCCAAATAAAGAGACAACTCAGTAATAGCAAACCATCCAATCTTTTCACTCACTGTCTTAACCCTTTTCCACCTCAACTGCCAATATACCTAACATTCATTTATCCAAAAAAAAAGTGTGTCTTCAAAACAGTTAAAATTTATGCAGTACTCCACAGTTGGCATACATTATTTAGCTGCTACGCCCCCCCCCCAACAAGTCTGTGAGATAGCCCATGTCAGTATTTTTATTTCTGCTTTACAGGTGAGGAAAATATTGCCATGACAGAAACCAGGGCCTCCTGGTTCCCAGCTGTTATTTCAATTACAGAATTTCTCAACCCCGGCGCTATTGATATTTAAGTCAGATAATTCTGTTTTATAGAGCATAGCAGGATTTTAACAATATCCTTGACCTCTTCCCATTAGATGCCAGTAATATTTACCCCTCCTACCCATCCCCCCAAGTTGTAACAACTAAAAATGTCTCCAGGAACTAAAAATATCTCCTTGGGCATAATCATACCCAATTAAGAACTACTGGTCTAAAAGAATTTGCAAGATTCTTTCTGGCATCTACATTCTGTGACAAAACTCTACATATCACTGAGCCAAAATAAATCACAGTGTTATCAGATGCTGTTTGTTCAGCTAATTAAGCAATTCCCAATCCACTTAAAATAACCTTTTAACTGGAAATTTTCTTGTACAAATATTCACATCTCAAACGATAAATCTAAAAGCAAAGCACTATCTCATTTTAAAATAAGGATATACATAATGAAGACATGTAATGATATATGTGGGCTTGGGGTAAAAAACATTTAGAGTAAGATAACAGATGTTTTTGCTAATAAACCTTATTAATGCTGTTTTACCTTAGCATTCCCTCTATAAAAATGGATATAAACTAACACACAGTCAACACTTGTTTCAGCTGGGTTTCTGTTTAAATACATGTTAAGACAAGGTTTTCAGAAGAAATCAAATAACTCTGGAACATTATTAGAGGTTGTGGTCTGCAGCTGAAACCACTAGTGTTTGTGAACCCAAAAGTTAAATTGGTAGCTCTCACAATCCTCTTTAGAAGCACGCAGTTTGTTTCTTCACACCACTTAATCTAAGTCTATCTCTGCAAAAGTAACTCCATCCTAAAAATTCCGTTTCACCAGCTTTTTAGAAAATACTTGAACTGAAAATACTTGAACTTGAAAGATCTTTGCAACATGTTAAAAGATTTTTGCAAATTGTTAGTTCTGTAAAGATCGGATCCCAAATGGTCAGTATGGCATTAGTCAAACAACCAATTTACTACCTAAATTGCAGCAAATTGAAATGAAATTCTATTTTGAATATGCATGATTTATTTTGTCCATATAGGTTTAGTCATCCACTCTCACCATTTCCCAAAGGAATACTATGAAATAGTAAAGTATTTAAACTGACCTTTTCCAATGCTTCAATTGGAGTGTCACAATGCAATCTTAATAATTAAAAAATACACTTTGCAGCTGTTTACAGAAACTAAGTTATAGAGACCATAGTTAACGGGATAAGTAGAATTAAGAAGAGGCTGTGCTTATTTGTAACGTCCATAATCATTCAGTTATGATGTACTGATGTCTTTTCATGTAACTGGAACCTATACCGAGGAGACATTTTCTCTGTATTACAAAACATACTGTACCCGAAGTGTCTCGTACTTCATGGTCTCCATTAACCTTCACCACAAAGTACAAAAGAACACATTGATCCTTCAATGAAAACAACTCCCTGATCTTGTAAGATACAGCATGACCAAAAACAAAAGCAAGAAACACCACAAAATGGGGCTATAGAAAGGGAGGAACAGAGATTTAATCCATAGTTTTTTTCCCCCACTGTCTACCTCCATAACTCAAATCCTTTTCTCAAAGCCAACAATCAATGACATCACATCGAATTGCTGGTGCAATACATACATCACTTAAATATCCATGGATTAATTTTAATACTTTCCTCCCCGTCAAAAACAATGACAATTTTATACTGATGTAAACTGCCACCACTGAGGGAAAATCGTGACTTAAAAGCATGTTATCGAACCAGGAGCAGAAGACACCTTATAGCCACGGATTAAGAGGCACGGGGCGTGGGGTCCACTTCCCCCACAGAAAATACCCAGTCCAAAAAGAAGTGCGCACAAACACCCAACAATCATCACACCTTTTATCTATTCTTCCTAAAGGAAGTCCCTGGTAAACACACAACTAATAAGTGCATATCTCTAAAGCCTAGGTTGTGACTTGAGCGGGGTATTTACTAATCCTGCTAAAGAGATATCTCCCTCTGATGCTGGCGACCGTGGATGGGGTTTGAGCACTTACACGGGGGTTCAGAGGCCAGCCCCAGTTTCAGGTAATTGGTCTCTCTCCTGTAGGATTAGCAGTTCCCTGGGGATTCACAGAATTCCTCTTCCCAGTCCTTTCCGTCAAGGTGCGTCTCCCCGCTTCTCGCAAGCTGCCCGGGGTCAGGTTCCCAAAAGAATCTAAAAGGGGAGGGGGCGTTTCCTGAGTTCACAGATGACCTCCAGCTACAGACGCTGACCCAAATCCCAGAAACTTTTCCTCGGTGAAATGGCAAAGACAACAGCTAAGATCCTCGGCCTCCGTCCGGTGGTCAGGGGGGAAAAAGCCTCCGCCTTCTCCCCCACCCCCCACCCGCGACAATTCTGCCAGAGCTGGCGGTCAAGTTCTTCGTGCAACAGCAAGGGACGTCAGACCTCAAGCCCGCGCCTGTAGCTCAGGGTGGTATAAACAGGATGTCAGAGTGTTCCAGTCTTGTTTATGAAAACTTGGTGTGTGCGTCTGGGGGAGGGGGCGGTGAGCCTTAACCTTTCCCCTCCCGGCCTGGGGCCCCTGTCCCTCGACCTCCCCGACACCAGCCGGCTCTACACAACTGGGAATCCCCCTTCTTCCCGGTTCGCGCCCTCACGCCCCCACGCTGCCGCGGCCACCAAGTCCAACACCGGCAGGCGGAGCGGCTCGGGCTTCGTGGGGCGCGAGGACTCCAGAGTCGCGGCCGCGTTTCCCGCCGGCGCCCAGCTCCGGGTCCCGGGTCCCCTGCCCAGTCGCCAGCGGCCGCCCGGGCTTCTCCACCTCCCGGTGATGACACTCACCACTTCCGTGTGCGCCAGGGCCAGGGGCTCCGGATCGCAGCGCTGGTCGGGGTCTGGCGGCCTGCTTTCGGAGCAGCCAGCCCCGGAGGGCCACGGCGTGCGCGCGCCCCTGGCTGAGGCGAGATCGTGGGTAGGACCACCAGGGCTTCGGCAGAGGCCCGCACAATCTGCGGCTCCCGGTCACTCCGCCGCTGTTGCGGCCTGCGTTTCGCGACGCACCCGCCTCCCGCCCCGCCCCAGCCCCGCCTCCCGCCCCGCCCCAGCCCCGCCTCCCGCCCCGCCCCACCCCGCGACGGGCCCCGCCTTCTCGTGACGTCATGCACGGCAGCCCCGGAAAGCGGGAGGGGGCAGCGGTCGAGACCGCGGCACCGCCCACGCGTACAACCCTGCGACTTCAGCCTTCCGCCCCGCCCCCATCCGGCCGGGTTTACGCCCACTCCTCTAACTCGCCTTTCTTTTTTTTTTAATTTAACGCGTCTTCTAGAAACACTAATCAAGGGATAAGAGGTCAGCCCGCAGAAAGTAGAATTGTCAAGATTTAGCCAGGGATTGACCCCCTCAAGTTTGGAGCTTGGAGTGGCCTCCACCACATCTTTGTGCACTGCTTTCATCACAAGCTTTTGGAAGAAATTTGTGAGCTTAATAAAAAATAAATCCTACAACTATGACAAATCCTTCGCATCTAACTCAGACTATTTAAAAAATGCTTTTAAAATATTATATACAATAGTAAAAAAAAAATCTAATAAAAACCTTTGTTGATACCTAATGTTTGCCCAGCGGTTTTCATTTTCACTAGTTATCCCTCAAAAGTAGATAGGTGCTTCTTTTTTTTTTAATAATATAACAGTTTATTTTTACATCATTTGTACTTTTTTTTTTTTTCATCTTAATTGTAATCCCCACGGGTTTCCGATCACCGAGTCAGGTGCTTCTTTTTACACATGAGGAAACAATTGAGGCTTAAGTATCTTAAGGGCACACTACAGCCAAGATTCACACCCTTTTGCAATCCACAGCCAAATCGTGGAAACGTTACTAATAGTTCTTCAACCCATTCGTTTGTCTTGAGTGTTTAATACTAGGCTAATTTGCCACCATCTGTCACCAAAAGGACCTTAGACACCTCTTAAGCTGTCAGTCCACATCTACTCCAGTCTCTAATTGTATACTATGAGTTTTTAAAAATTCGAATCTGTTGGAGCTGGAAAAGATCATGCTTAGCGAGATAAGCCAGAAAGAGAAAGAAAAATACCTGATGGTTTCGCTCATAGCAGAAGTAAATGGACCAGGCGAGAAAATAATAAGAATAATAAACAGCCATAAAGCAGAGACATTTTGTGGGGGCGGAGTGGAGAGTGGGATCAAAAAGGGGGGCGGGGGGAGAGAAGTACACGGGACTATGGTGATGATGGCACACGGATGACTTGGTGATGGGAAGCCCAAGGGGATTACAATTGAGATGAAAAAAAAATGTACAAAATGATGTAAAAATAAACTGTTATTAAAAAAAAATTCGAATCTGTACCACTCATTCCCAATACTTAAACCACTGCAGTCCCTTCCTCTGAAAATCCTCTTTAGTGGAGTCTGGTATGGCTGCAGTTCAGCTCACTGAACCACTTCCCCACCAGCCCTGATTTCACTAAACCCTGAGCAGTGAGAGGTTACTGCAACTTACCTCTTACTGAGCAAAAGTGATTGGTCATTGGTGAGCAAAAAGAGCCTTGGAATCTAAAGTTCTGAATTTTTGGTTAGGCTCCTCACCATGAACCAGAATGACACCCTAAACAAATAGTAGTAAATTCATAAAAACTGAGGAGCAAACTAAAGGATCTCTACAGTGCCTTCTAGAAGAAGAGAGCAGGGAAGACAGGAAAATCAAACAGGAAGGTGGTGGACCAAGCGCCTACACTAAGTATTCTTTTGTATGTTTGCTTTACCTGGCACTCAGGACTGTTTGCATCACTTTCTTCGGCTGTTAAACTTGGTAGACAACCTTCCTTATTTATAAGGACTATGCTGAAAGCAAACTGGCACATGGCATGGGCTTAAGTACATCACTGAGATTTTTATTCAGCAGGCCCTTAAAAACCAGAAGTATCATGCCTAGAGACAAAAACATGAAAGAGCCACAGTAACATGGTTATCAGGCATGGTGACAGGTGAAGAAGGCAGAGGTGAAGCCACTGTGCTCAGGAATCAATATGGCTATCCTGCAGGGCTTATTGCAATGAAATAAAGGCCATGCTGTAGTTTAGATCCATAGTTCCATACCAGCCACTGCAGTGTGTGCAAAGGATTCAGAGAAAATGCACTATTAACCTCTGGAGTGGGGGAGACATATAAGGGATAAATTCATGCTTCATGGTCTTCTAAAAATGATCACAAAAAAGAATCAATCAACCTAGCCTGAAAAAATTAAGAAAAGCAACATGCAGCAGACAAGTCACAGGAGCCAGAAGAACTTGGCATATTCAGGCAATAATGACTATATGCTATGGTAATTGGAGAGTAAGATGAGCCTTATGAAAAAACTTTTATCTAAAAGCAGTTTTTCATTTTAAAAGAATCGCTCTAGTACTGGGTTACTCAACCTCAGCACTACTGACATTTGAGATGGAAAATTCGTTGGGGTGGGGGTGGGGGGTTCCTACTATCCTGTGCATAGTAGGATGTTTAGCAGCATCTCTGTCCTCTAACTACTAAATACCAGTATCAACCCTCCTCAATCCGCCTTCATCCTTCTGACCCCCAACTTGGCCCTGGCCAAGTTATGACAAATATGTCTTCACACATTGCCCTGAAGAACAAAATCACCCCTGTTGAGAACCACTAATCTGGGACTAGTGGATTGGAGGGCAAGCAGATTAATTACACAGCATGGTACCAAGCTGCAAGTGATGAGAATATCCTACACAGTGGACTAAGGAGGAATAGGGGAAGACTAAAAGTGTGAGGAAATAGTACAGACAGTGCATGGTGACTTATTAGAGGTGATTGCTGAAGCAGAGGGAGGAGTCTCACATGCTTTCCAGATTTTCTGAATTAATTAACATATTGACCAAGGATAAATTGGATAAGGAATTTCATTTTATGTTTGAGAATAGAGAAATACTTTAAAGTCACTTTATAATGACTTTATAGGAGTAGAGGAAGTAAAAGATGGGAGAAGCAAAGTAAATGAAAGAATGCAAATATTTCTTTTCCTTTTAACACATAAACCTGTTACAGATATTCATCTAAATTGAACTAACCTAAATGTAATGAAGGAGAAGCTTCTAATGAGGAAATTCCCCCAAAATAAAGAACCCTGTCCACTGCTAATTATACACATATGGGTTTCTCACATAAATCTTCATCAAAAGAGCATTGGCTCACCAGTTTATTTCTCTGCAAAAACTATTTCCTAGATTCTAATAGGGAAACACATTAGATTCAAACAATGAGATTTGCCTGAAAATGTTATACTGAATAAAACAAACTAACTAAAATACCATTATGCAAGCCAAAAAATTCAATTACAAAAGAATGGAAGCTATAATCACCTGTGACTTTGCAAGTTTCCATATTACATATGATTATATTTTCTTCCACATTTTTTAAACAAGGATATTCTTTTTTTTTTTTTTTTTTTAAAGATTTATTTTATTTGTACATACAGAACTGGGGTACAGGCCAGAGGTGCAGGGGCGGTGAGAGGCTTCACCAGAGTGAGGAGCAGAACAGGCAGATCGACGAAGTACACTGCTGAGGGGAGCAGCGGGCGGGTCAGGAGAGGTCTGCCACGCCATGTGGTCACCTCCGGGGCAGGCGGGGATCGAACTCATGCGGAAGTGGCTTTAGCTTCTCAGTGCAGTGCTTTAACCCGCTGCGCCGCCAGGGAGGGCCTAAACAAGGATATTCTTAATGTAAACATAATCATGGTATATGTGTAATTGTGTATTGTTCCTTAAATTTGTTTTAATTTATAAGCATTTTTCCAAGTTATGGCCAAAGCTTTCATAACTAATGAATTTCTTATGCAAAAAATAACTTTTAAATAATAATTAAATGTTCAATTAATTTTTATTATTTAGATAGTTATCTTAGGACAGAGTTACAGAAATGGGATTAAAGAATCTCATGATTCATGTAATCAAATGAACTGCATAATTTTAGATTCTTGACTCACAGATAAAGAATCTATGGCAATTTTCCAAGAATTTTCCACAAAAGTTCTTGTTACAGTGATGAATCCTATGTCTTGAATAACAGCCTTTAGATCTAAGTTCCAGAAATAGTTTTCTTCTCTTGGGCAAGGCTATTTATCAATTACAAAATTGATTGTATGTTTCCCTTTTTTTAAAAAAAGATGTATTTGTTTATGCATATAGAACTGGGGTACAGGCCAGAGGCGCAGGGGTGAGAGTACTCACCAGAGACAGAGCAGGGAGCTGAACAGGCAGACCAACAAAGTACATTGCTGAGGGGAGCAGCAGGTAAGACAGGAGAGATCTGCTGTGCCACGTGGGTCACCTCCCGGACTGGGATGGAACTCACACTGAAGCTGCTGCAGCTAGCTTACAGTGCTGTGTCCTAACGCCCCGTTGCACCACCAGGGAGGGCCCATATGTTTCCCTTTAATTGTTAGGAAGCCCAGAATCAAATTTTAGTCATATATATTTGACTAAAATATATATATGACTAAAATAAATATATATATGTATGTGTGTGCATGTGTGTGTGTGTATGTAAAATGTATAGCAACTGTTAACATACACTTTGGGTTATCCTCACTTTAGCACCATCTTCTCTTTCATTTATATTCAAATCACACTAACTCTGCACTGAACACACATATTGCCCAATATTGGTCTATTACATAACACCTTACTAAACCTGGCTTCCCCTATTGTGGGCAAGCAAGATACCCAATTTCTGTCAGCTCTGATTTCTTCCTTTGTAAGAAAGGAAAATCAAAATATCTACTTCATTTGGGTTAACACGAAGATTAATAAAGATATTCAGATATCTTTACCTCTCCAAATAAGTCAAAATATCCAATTAATTTTCCAAAATGTCAATGTAATAATTACTAAAAAGGTAAGTACCCAATTATTATAAAAATATTCAACATACAGTACAACCACTATGGAAAACTGTCTGGAGGTTCCTCAAGCTGCTAAACATGGAGCTTCCCTACGACCCAGCAATCCCACTCTTAGGTATCTATCCAAAAGA